ATGATAAAGTCCAATACTTTTGCTATAAATATTAAGACTGTTTATTTGAAACTAAAAAGACGGGAGAAAAATCCTATTTAAAACAAATTATATTTTCTATGTTCTGTGTAAACAAAAAATCAATAACACTACTAGAAATACATATAAAGCATCACAGCTTAATCACAAAGTAGCCCATATTTAACAAGCTTTTAGAAGACATACTGTGGGTAAAAAAAAGTTGTTTCCACCCCCCCTCCCCCATCTTCCTTGCTCCAAAATCCAAAAACTTTGAGGCTGCTAAACCACTGTTTATCTTTATAGTCAAGTGGCAACAAAAAAAAAATTAAAATTTTTTTTTTTAAATTCTGAAACAGGCTAAAGAAGACAAACAGCTCACCTCTTCTATAATTGTTGTAGTTTTATGGGTGTCTCTGGTTACAGAACTGAGATTCAAGTTTTTTTCTTTTTTTCTTTTTGTAGTAGAAAGTATTAGTTTGTCAGTCACTTCTGCAATTCTAGTTCTTTTGGTCTTCTCTTGTTTTCTTTTCATATTTTCTGCTGTTTTGTCCCTACACTTTTTATTCATTTTAATGGTGACACTTGACTGTGAAACAGAGTCAACATGTTCTTCTGCAACAGTCAAGTCATTATGATCTTGGCCTGCATCAGTATCCATACTGGGATACTCTTCTTCCTTAATTTTCAGTGGAGTATGAGATATGTTAATGTCATCTGCAGATAACTTTTTCAGCCTAACATCAAGTTGAGATGAGATGATGGTTGAGTCATTGCGCGTCACGTCACTGACTCCAAGGAACTCAGACTTACTGGATGGCTTCTCCTTTTTGGGTGGACCTATGATAAAGATCTCCCCATCATACCTGCAAGGTAATGACTTGCGCTTTCTGGCAGTTCTTCGCACCATTTTTCCTGCATCACTATTAAGCTCATTTAAAACTTTTAGGTCAGGAAAAGAAGTTGTAACAATGCAGTTCTGGAGATCAATGTCATTACTATCTTCAGTCGGAGATAACTCTTCTAGTTTTACAATTGCGTCACAGAAAGTGTTATTTTCAGTGACCTTGATGCTTAACTGTAAGTCTTCAGGCAGTAACAAGGTATCATCATCAAAATGATTCTCTAAAAGTTCTTTGAGTTCTGAAATATCAAACCACTTAACCGCGGCATAGGTCTCTGGCAAAAAGTCATATGGAGGGCTGAAGACCCCTGTGTACAAAGCAGTGATGATGGCAGACATGACCTCATAGCTATATTGCACCTCCATGATGTAAGGTGGGGCAAGCTTTCTCCCTTCTAGTGAACTTGTACATTTAGAGACATGGGAAGCTACTCTAGGACTAAAGGCAGACAGAACCCAGGCATGAGTCTCCAGGTGCTTATTACTAGAGACAATGCACAAATCACAAAAAGAAACAGACTTCCACTGCATGTATAATTTCTCCAGAAGTTTATTACTGTGGTCACTCCACTGCAGCATAAGTGTCGTCATGTTCTGCTCTTCAGCCATTTTTTTCGTATACCCTGTGAAAGTAAGAAACTGATTAGTAACAAATCTTGTTAAAATAATAAAAATAAAAAGTTTTACACTATTCGGATGTTCCAGCAGGACGGCGGGGGTGGGGGTGGCAGCAGCAGTGTTAAAACCAGGACCCTCATGATGAAAGTCCAGAGCGCATATCACACAACCACATGGTCATACTTTTTAAAGGCAATAAGTAGCTGTTAGTTAAGTTCCCCTTTCAGACCATGTGGTCTATAGGGCAGATGATGTTAAGGTCATCAGTTTCTTTGGCCATAGGTTAATAAGTAGGGTGTCATGTCGCCGAAAATACCAAAATATTATATTATATATATATATTTCAGGACTAGAAAAAATGTGTTGGGTGTGGGGGAGTGTTGTAATGCAGACTGTTTTCTTGATGGTCATTCCAAAAAAACAACAAAAAAACATACATACCAACTATTTTAACCGTCTAGCTAGGGTTTCTGCTTTTATATATGTTACTTTATGTTTGATTATTTCCTTTGAGACTATATAGCCCATTGACCACTACATGGTAGTATAACTACCCCAAGGATCACAGTAAATGGACAGCCCCTTAACGTGGTAGACCACTTCACATATCTAGGTAGTATAGTGTCAAATGACGTCTCACTTTCAAGCGAAGTTGATAACCGTCTAGCCAGGGCTAGTAACGCTTTTGGATGCCTTCAGGCGAGAGTCTGGAAAAACAAATTGCTCCGCCTGCCTACAAAAATCAATGTCTACCAGGCGGTGGTTCTCTCAACCCTTCTTTATGGCTCTGAGACATGGACACTATATAAAAAACAACTAAGAATTCTTGAGCGCTTTCACCAAAGATGCTTGCGCTCCATCATGGACATACGGTGGCAGGACAGCACTACAAACAGCGATGTCCTTGCGAACGCCAGTATGGACAGTATAGAGGGACTTCTTATGGTCCAACAGCTATGCTGGGCATGTATCTCGTATGGGAGACTAACGTATGCCAAAGGCAGTCTTTTTTGGTGAGCTTAAAGGTGGTCGACATAACAGATGCGCCCCACGGAAACGCTTCAAAGACCAGCTTAGGCATCAACTTTCCTTGGCTGACATAGAAGAGAACACCTGGCTGCATGCGGGGTCAGAATGAGACAGCTGGAGGTCACTCACGAAGGCTGCGGGATACACATTTGAGACCAGAAGAAAATCTGCTGCCGAGGACAAACGTAGACGACGAAAAGAAAATCTAAATCGACCACCTGCGGACAAAGGTTATTCTTACCCTGGATGTGGCAAAATATGCAGGTCACAGCTGGGGCTGCGCAGCCACGGGAAATACTGTATTCCTCACTAATCTTCGGACTCGAAGACAAGCCTTATTATTATTATAATATATATATATATATGTATTATTAATTTATAAAAACAAAAGGGTTTACTAATTCAATACCAAAAATAGCCATTGCATCAATTCAAGCATTACTTATCGATGGTCCCGGGTTGAAACCCTGCCTGCTCCCATCCCCCATTGTCCGGGGAGAGGTTTGGACAAGTAAATTATCTTCAACTCTGAAGGAACATCCAAAACATGTAAATGATTTAACAAAAGTAATTTAAGTTTTTGAGATCTAAACATGAGAACTATGGCCACCTTTTCATAGACCACCTCTCCTTGTGACTATAGTGTCTATAGCCATAGCACCCTAATTTGGAGAACATTCTCAGCCATATAGATCTAGATCTAGGCCAGATCATAAATAATATTGTTTACATACTAACATAGATCTACTGACTCTAGCTAGATGTAGATGTTGTGTGCATTAGATCTAACTTGTAAATACTAAAATTAAATCTAAAAATTCAAGTTCAAGTTAAATTATATTGTGATTTGTCACAATTTGTGTAGAGCGTAGAATCTAGATCTAGTGACTGTGCCTTACTCTAGGATCTAGAATATATTGAATATTCTAGAATGATAAGAATTAGACCAAAGAATTTATTTATTCTATATAATTAATTATTATTGAAATATTTATAATTTTATTTAATAATAAATTCAATTAAATTAAATTATTATTATATTTATATAGTCCCTCGATTCTAGTTATATCTACTTCTAGATTAAATCTAGATTTTTAGGAGAATCAAGAGACAAATGATATGAGATTCGTTTTTTCTAGGGTAACAGTTCTAGACCTAGTTTACGTTACTTAACTCGATTACTCAATACCTATAATCTACTTGACTCTAGAGTATAAAGGCCAACATGTTTTTTTTACAAGCTGATTGATCTCCCTTGTCAATATTGAACTTTTAATAGCTTTTTTTAAATGAGAGGTTGTTCGTCTGCTTTTTCCAATGTTGTCAACTAATGTTGTTGTTTTTTTTTTTAACATCTACTAGCTACGACACAAAGCGCAATTGACAAGCATAGATATTTTTCTAGCTCTAGATTGGCTAGAAATAAGGTTTAGATTATAATTTAGGTTTCAAAAACTAGAATCTAGATCTATACAGATATATTTTATTCCAAAAGCTTGTGCAAGCTGAAAATAGATAATTGTTTAATCAGTCAAATAAATACACTTAATTAGCAGCTCTTACTAATAATACCATGCACTCCCCTATATAATATATTTAGCCTATTTTCCTTCCCCGAAAAAAAAAAGAACAAAAAATAGTGGTACTATTTATATCTGTGACATTTTACGTCTCGAGAGACGATCTTTTCCCTTTGCAACTTCTGTGTGACTAAAGAGGCCAATCCTTGATACACAGCTGCCTAACAGGTTGGGCATATATAATCACCAGGGCGCCGTTGCATTTTCACCCTTCTTTCTGCTTCGGTTGTGTATGACATCTGCAATCCGTGACCCTTCCTTTATGCTCTCTCTCCATGCGGATCTGTCCAGTGCCACCAATTGCCAGTGTCAATTTTGAAGAGCTTCATGTCGCGTTTGAATACATCCGTATAACGTAAAAGTGGACGACCAGCGGCTCTCCTGCCTTCTATTAGATCGCCATACAGAATGTCCTGTGGGAGTCGACCTACTTTAAACGACTTCTGTACGAGTAGTAGTGTTCAGGAAAGCGCTCCCAGGGAGGCCTATACAAGCGCTACAAAGACACTCTCAAGAGCTCCTTCTTCCAGTAATCACTTAAACTTTACATTAAGCTTAAAACACTAACCCATACCATAGTGATTCTATCTTAACATCTGTAATGTAGGCCTAAATACAGTCCATAGTCATTTCTGGGTTAAAAATAATTTCACTGAGCATCTACTTTAACACCATTAAAGAAATGAGAGTCAACACTATGGTTCATTTGAATGCAGATTTTATTATAGTTTATTTAAAAAATTGTCAAAACAATATTTTGTTTTTTTTATTTTTCTATGTACAAAAAAAAAAGGGGGGGGGGAAGAGAGGGCAATTAAACTTTGTTCAAAACATTTCTTCAAATCAAATAACAACACAGTGCCAAGACAAGCTTGATTCAACACACAGACAGACATGAAATCTATTCAACTAAGCATGTCCTTCTTCTTATATATGTATACAAAACTAAAAAGCTATCTAATCAAAACTGTAAAAAAAAAAAAATAGGAAAGAAAAATGTCCCCTTTACCTCTGTGGTTGGGGGAAAAGACTGAGGCCTAAGTAGAACAATGATCGTAGGCCTATGGTAAATTTTATTCTTTCAAAATGGTTGTGGCAAAGAAAAGTTTAGGAAACATTATTTTAAACTCTTGTTCTAAATAATTTTTAAATTATCACCAGGGTAGCAATTTCTTTGAAAATATATACGACAGTACACTATAACATTAAAAAGAAATTAATTTTACAAAATCAGATGTGCCAAAAGTTAAAAAAAAAAAAAAATAAAACAACTAATACCTAATTTGTGAAAAAAAATCCATTTACTATTACTGAATTGTACAATTTTTACTAATCTGAGAAAATGCAAAAGTAGTAGTGCTAAAGTTTTCTGACTGCAGTAAATATCAATGCACTCAATAACCTCAGCTGACTAAAATGACCTGACTAAAGGGAACACTTTTCATCAAAACTATGCTCTGGGGCACATAATGGACAAAATTTGTTTTCATTCAGCAACAATCAAGGCCTCAATTATTTGTGTTTCTTGCTTTGATACAAAATAAAAGAGAAGTGTAGCCATCTACCTGTCTTACAATACTAAAAGTATCATTTCTAGTTTAAAAATAGAAGTAACATTGAACGGATTAAACTCAAATCTGAGAACATGAACTATGACTACCTTGCTTTATCTTATCAGTATCAGACCCATGAGGTGCAGTAGCTGAGCGATAAAGCGCTTGGCTTCCAAACCAGGGGTCCCAGATTCGAATCCTGGTGAAGACTGGGATATTTAATTTCGGGATCTTTGGGGGCTTCTGAGTCCATTCAGCTCTAATGGGTGCCTGACATTAGTTGGGGAAAAGTAAAGGTGGTTGGTCGTTGTGCTGGCCACATGACACCCTCGTTAACCGTGGGCCACAGAAACATCATCTACCTTATAGAACACAAGGTCTGAAAGGGGAGCTTAACTTTTACTTTACTATCAGACCTACTTGTTAATTGAACAGTAGGTTCTAATGGATGAGGAGAATAAAAGTTTTTTTGTTATGAGGTTAATGGTAATTGGCCCAAACTCTCATAGACAAAATAATTTTCCTGTGGCCTCTTCATTGGGAGGCCAAGCACTCAGTTTCTGAACCAGAAGGTTTCGGGTTCAAATCCTAGTGAAGATTGGGGTTTTGAATTTCAGTATCATTAGGGTGCCTCTGAGTTCACCCACTTCTAATGGGTGCCTGACAATAGTTGGGGAAAGTAAAGATGACTGGTTCTAGTGCTGGCCACATGACATTCTCATTAACAGCGGACCACAAAGACAGATGACCTTTACATCATCTGCCCCATAGATTGCAAGGTCTGACAGGGGAACTTTTCTTTATTTGTTTTCTTTCATCATGGCTCCAAAGTGAAAGCATTCTATTAAAATTAATCCGCGATGCTGGCTAGAGATGAGCTGTGTTGGGATTTTGCAGTTTCTGACCATTGCAAGTGGTGTGCTTATTAGGAAAATGATGGTTTGTAATTTTTCCCCCCATTAGAAAGATTGCTTAGCATTGGAAATCTTCTTTTACCGTATTAGCCATTTAGCATAATATTTGGAAGTATTATGGGAGTAATTAACTTCAGGATGGCTCCACATTTCTAATTTTCTTTTAGATTTCCTTTCAGTTTTAAAACTAAGGTTGCTATAATGTAAAACAAAAACACAAAATTGTGTAAAAAAAAAATCTAAGCCAGGACTGAACCTCAACCTTCTAATCTGGAGTGCTAAGAGCATCTCATGAAAAGAAATAGTATGAACAAAAACAGATTCTAATAAACTATTATCTTTTGCTATATAGTTATGTTATATAGTAATTTTCAAATACATAGCATAACTCTAATAATTTTAGTGCACAAAATAGTAAAATCATGCATGAGAATGTGTTTCCTACGACTTTGTGGGACACAACCACAACAGCCCAGCATGACGAACACTCTGAATGGCAATGTGGAACAGATGAAAAAACAAAAAACAGTGCTACTCTCCCCTGGCAATGACTGCAAAAGAGGTCTACAGCAAAAAGCTGGTTAGAAGAAGAATTGTCCTTCAATATTAGTCATTAACCCTTTTGCTTAGCTAAACATTAATAATGTAGCAGCAATGCATTTCCCAGATACAAGCAACCTACATTTAAATAACAGCACAGGAGGAATTAGAAACGATAAAAATATGCCAGCTTTGTGTTTGAAAAATTAAAAAAGATAATTATACACATTGTATAATAATTATAAGATAGAGCTACAGACTGAGAATTCAACCTACAAAACATACATGTAAATACAAGTAGAGTTTTCAAAGCATTTCTGGAAAAAAAAATCTCTTCGTTTCGTACAAAGAATGCTACAATGGGCTAAGATCTCAATTGAAAAAAAAAAATTACACTGAAATGAAAAAAAAAAAAGTTCCTGTTTATGATTTCTAACAAATAAATTTCTCAAAGTTGTTTTTAATAAACATTTCAAGATAGTCAAAAATGTAATTAAAACAAGATATTCTACAATTTAATGAATAACTAACTTAAAACCCATAGACATATCCTTCACATTGTTGTAGTTTTTTAAGCTAAAAAATTCATTTTATGTCAATGTCAGCAATGGTCCAAGGACAAAGTCCCTTCAAACTTTTCATAAATAATTTATGGAAGGGAAAATATGCAAGACAAACAGTTGAAATAAAAAACAAACTGACACGAATCGAGTGTGTCAATGAAGGTAAAAAAACCTCCTGTCTTAGTCGACAATGCAGATATTTAGTATACACTTTATTTTTTAAATACAAAACTTGAAATGTGTGCTACTAAAGTGTATTATGATATGTTTGATGAAATATATTTTTCTACCAAGATATAGCACAAAACAAAAGCTGTAACAGGTTCACAGGATAATAATTAAAACAGAAATTATGTATCAAAAAATATTCCATTTCAATGGTGTCAAAAGAGAACAGAAACAGAGGAAAAACAACAGCATTTAGAATCTCTAAAGTGTCAGGTTTAGATATTCTTGGGGACAATCTGTTCTAAATCTTGTCTTTTAGTTATGTAGTCACACCGAATTTCGATTTGTTTGGACCAATAAAATTATCTCATCTAAAAAATTAGAAACATCTCTTTTTTTCGAAAAAAATGAAAGATGAGTCACTATTATTCTGAATTGTGTTTTTGCTTAATCTTCCATATATTTTACTAACAGCCACAATTTTGAATATGTGAAATAATAATTATAAATAAGGTCATCAACTTTTATTTCATTATGTATGCTACACCTCCCTCAACTAGATTACTGCAAAATAAAAAAAATTTAATTTAAAAAAATATAAAAAATAGCAAGACTCAAAAATTAAAAAACAAAGCAGAAAAAAATTGTTCATAGCATACTACTACCAAGTAGATGATCTAGAATTACAAGAAAACACACATCTTTAAGCTTAGTTTTTTTTTTTGTTTTTTTAAATGCTAATTATCATTTTATCAAACAGCCTTAAGTAAATAGTAACTTCAGGTGACCAATCTGATCATTGTTTAAACTTAAAAAAAAAAAGAGGCTTATTAAAAAAAAAAACTTTTTTTAGGACAAGGAGGCATCAAAATCATGGTCATATTTGTAAATAATTTTTGCAAAAATAAACAAACATATTTAACATATGAACAACCAAAACAAAAGACTTAAATTTGATATAGAAAAGAAATACAAGGAGAGTTTCTTTCTCTCATTTATTTTAAAACAAAATATTGATCAGTGAAAGAAAAAAACTTTAAAGATTCACAAAAAAAAAAAAAAGGATGCAAATTTCATAACTTCTAACAGCATCAATCTTCCATTGTTTCACATTGTGCACCACAATTATTTCATATACAAAGGAGATAAATATTGGCTAACAGTTCAACTTTATGTAAGACCGACATGCAACAACTATTAGGAGCTGACTCTGAAGACTGGGTGAAACCATTTCAAAGCAAGGGATGCATGTCATTAGTTGAAAGATGCAAAGAAAATATCTGAGCCTTTTAAGCAAAAGTATTTTAAGAAAGGCCATATTCATTAATCACACACGCCAACATTCAAAACTGACTGGAGGAATTTGTACACTTTTCTACACAATTTTTTTGTACAAGTTGATTAAAAGATTAAATTTTAATTTAGTTAATAATATTATATACATGTATGTCCTTACATTTAGAGAGGAACTAAAAAAAAAAGATAAATAATTGAACATTAACCATTTAATGGATTGGCAATTGGCAGACTCATGATAACAGCACCTGAACCATGATGTAAATAAAATAAAGAGCAAACATGATAAATAGGTCTCACCAATAGAGAAACAGGTCACTATATCACAAACAGAGAATCAGGTCAATATCAAACAAATTTTGAGTTGTTACATTTTAGAAAAAAAAAAATGTAACCATGCAACAAGTTTTAAAAATTCCAATCTCACACCCTTTAAACTTTGTCTTAACATAATCGAGAATCATTAAATTAAGTTGTAATGCATCACTATTTTAACTGTTGCTTCAGACAATAACTGGTTTAAAAGAAAAGATTAAGCATTTCTACTAGTTAACAAGATTAAAAGTAATACAATATTAAGTCACAGAAAAATAATTATGGCGCAAGTTTTGCAAGCTAATGAATCTTTGGTCAACATTTGGAGAATGAATAACTATTTTTAACCTTTTTTTTTTATGAAACATGACATGAATATATTTTCTCACATAATAAAAAACTGTTGGAAACAAGACAAGGATACTGTTGTTTTTTTTACACTTAAAAAAAAAACAACAAAAAAACAATAGCCACAAAGTTACATCACCGTTTGTGAAACAAAGGATAGATGGGAAAAAATGAAAAGAGAGAGATAACTCTTAAATGATTGTCAACCTTGCAAATATGATTTGTATTAACAAGACCATATGTTGTTCTATTTTTTTTTTACTTTCATCATAACAGAACAGCATGGATTAAGTTTAAAAAAAAAATTCAGACATCACTTTTACAAATAGCTTCTACCAGACAGGCATAGTAAAGAACTGTTGGCAGCAAAAGGTTTCCAAACAGACCTCTGGAAAACTCTTACACAGGTGGTAGGACATACAATATGTACTGAAAGAAAAGCTACTGCCATAGACAG